TCGCGCGAGTGTGTGTGTGTGTCTGTATGTAAGTACGTGGCCAAGGCGCTCGATATTTCAGGCCGTCGCCCACGAGAAACGCAGTTCCTGGGGGCGTGTTCCGCACTGGTATGGTCGGAGTCGACGTTGGCCGGCCGGCGTTACCTCGGTTCGTTTACACCGAACGTAGAGAAACGGAGTAGCTGGCATAATTTCCGGCGGAGACGGTGGCGTGCGCAGCTAACGCCGTTTCGTGCGTCCGCAACGCGATTCCGCTCTGCCTCGCCTCTATACGCCTTCTAACGCTACGCTGGCCCCGCTTACTCGCTTTTAAACTAACGATTTAAAAACTGCCTGCAGTTCACCCACGTTAGAGACTTTCGTTATGTTGCTACGTTCGCGTGCCCTCTTGACACCACCCTCTGCACCGGGAGAATAAATCAAGTCCCGATCACGCTAGATTATTACTATGCTACGTCTTACATCGTTGGATCTTCACGTCACATGTAGTATCACCATGCGTGGAGTCACCTCATATGATATCGCTATGCGTAATATCACCGTATGTGGTATTGAGATACGTAGAAATTGTTCATATGTAAGAGTAACACGCGGTGTATCACCATGCGTTGTATTATCACACGTGGAATCATGCGTTGTATTATCATATGTGGAATCACACATGCACTGTATCACCAATCGTAGTAGCACACATTGAATCTTTACGCTCATATAAGCATATAATAGTCCATTCCATCTCACGTGGAATCACACATGTGTTGAACTATCATATGTGGAATCACACATGCAACTGTATCACCATTCATAGTATTACACACGAAATCTCTACACTCATATAACCATATGATAGTCCATTCCATCCTCAATTCCCTCTCACGTGGAATCACATATGTGTTGAACCATCATATGTGGAATCACACATGTGTTGAACCATCACACATGGAATCACACATGCAACTGTATCACCATTCGTAGTATTACATACGAAATCTCTACACTCATATAACCATATGTTAGTCCATTCCATCCTCAATTCCCTCTCACGTGGAATCACATATGTGTTGAACCATCATATGTGGAATCACACATGTGTTGAACCATCACACGTGGAATCACACATGCAACTGTATTACCACTCGTAGTACCACACACCTAATCTCTACTCTGATATAACCATATGATAGTCCGTTCCATCGTCAATTCCATCTCACATGAAATCACACATGTGTTGTATCATCACACATGCATCACGCGTAGTAATCACATACCGAATTTTTACGCTAGTATACCCGCACCGTCCACCACGTATCATATCACACGATAATTCACCATGTGTCATATCACCATACTCCATCACGCGTCACATCGCCATATGATAATCCATAACGTGTCATATCAGATAATCGATAACGCGCCAATAGGTAATCGCGTTAAACTACGAGTAACATCGGCAGATAATATCGTCGCTAATATCGCGAAATTAAGCAGAATAGCAAGATTAATCGTTGGTAAAGAAATAAAGAAAGAAAAGAAGTCGCCAATGACGGGTAACAACGACGACATTCGAAAGCGCGATCTGGTATCGTTGGACGTTACGCAAAGCCGTAATACCGGATTTACCCGGAGGCTAAGAACCGCCGAGAAGAACGGTCGTGACTCATGCTTTCGGCTTTTATCTCATCCTGGAATACATATTCGAAAAAGAACGCGAGTTACCGATTCACGTCGCGTCGAGTCGGACGGTGACGCGCACGGGGCGCGAATTTTAAAATCCTCGTTGAAGCGCGCTGCGCGGAGAGACAGAGACGAAAGAGGCAAAGGAAAAAGGTAAACAGGAATGGGATTTATGTTATGTAGGAAGTGAAACATCGGCGTTGCAACAAGAGCAACAGAAAGAAGAACGCATAATGTTGCGTATATATATGACGGTTAATCGCATCAAATTGCATGGTTCGTTTGATTAATTAAAATATGAAAATGAAGACAAGTTTTCAAACACGGAGATAATATACGATGCTGGGATGAAAGGGATCGATAAAAAGTTCGCCTCAAACGCGAAACGATAAGTAGTCACGAGCTAGATACTTTTTGGTTTCGAAAGATGATTGATAATCTTAATTGCCCCTATAATCGTTCATGATCACTCATGTCAGCGTTCTAAGTAATAAAGACAAGATCGCGCGAGTCGATTACGATGATCGAAAAAGGAGCAAACTTATAAATGCGAGCCTCGAATCGCAAAAAAATAGTGGCATTAGCATTTCTTGTGTCCGTTCCGATGAAACGGAAGATCAACGCCGGGTTACACGTAACTTCTGCAATCAAATCGCAACGATGAAAATAGTAATCGCGCCGAGAGTTCGCACGATCAATCGAACTATTTCAGATCCGAGCAACGGGTTTAACGAAACGATTCGAGCCATTTTATTAATCATGCTATCGCGGAAACGAGCGCGATATACGTTCATTAAAATACCACGGTGCACCGCTTTCGCACACTCTCGGTCGGAGATCACCTTGTATTAATACGACTAACGAAGACAGTACGGATATAAACCGATAAAATTTACAGTAACCATAAAATACTTTACGCCTCTCCCTACGAATCGTTTAACTTCCTACTTAGAATGTCTTATCTTTTCCATAAATTCGATTTGAAAAATAACTGGAAATTTTCGTTCTGAGTTACATGACGTTTGGTAGATCACGCAGGGGAGCTACATTAAAAATTACGAGTTACATCATCACGCGGTAAATTGCGTGACTGAATCACTACGCTTTGGATTGGAAATTACCACAAGTTATATCGCCAAACTATATTACATGGACTTCTACGTGTCGAATTACCATGTAATTATCGTGTACTCAATTACCACGCGTCGAATTGATACGCGCAAAATTACCACGCGTTAAAATCGCTATAAAACGAATTACTACATGTATAGTATTATTGAACTATCCAGCGACAAATTACTACACGAATTAGGGCGAATTAGGACGTGCTGAACTACAACACGTAGAATTTGTTACGCGTCGAATTACCACGCGTTGAACTACCACGCGCAGAATTAGCTATGCGCAGAATTACTGCGCATTGAACTACCATGCGCAGAACTAGCTGCGCATTGAACTACCATGCGCAGAACTAGCTGCGCGCCGAATCACCACGCATAGAATTAGGTGCGCGCCGAATTACCACGCGTTGAACTACGACTCGGTGAATTATTTACGCGCTGAATTACTACGCATTGAACTACGACTCGGTGAATTATCTACGCGCTGAATTACTACGCATTGAATTACCTACGCGTTGAATTAGCTACGCACCGAATTACTACGCATTGAACTACCATGCACAGAATTAGCTACGCACCGAATTACTACGCATTGAACTACCACGCGCAGAATTAGCTACGCACCGAATTATTACGCATTGAATTACCTACGCGTTGAATTACCACGCATTGAACAACCACGCTCAGAATTAGCTATGCGCCGAATTACTGCGCATTGAATTACTTACGCGTTGAATTACCACGCATTGAACAACCACGCTCAGAATTAGCTATGCGCCGAATTACTGCGCATTGAATTACTTACGCGTTGAATTACCACGCATTGAACAACCACGCTCAGAATTAGCTATGCGCCGAATTACTGCGCATTGAATTACTTACGCGTTGAATTACCACGCATTGAACAACCACGCTCAGAATTAGCTATGCGCCGAATTACTGCGCATTGAATTACTTACGCGTTGAATTACCACGCATTGAACAACCACGCTCAGAATTAGCTATGCGCCGAATTACTGCGCATTGAATTACTTACGCGTTGAATTACCACGCATTGAACAACCACGCTCAGAATTAGCTATGCGCCGAATTACTGCGCATTGAATTACTTACGCGTTGAATTACCACGCTCAGAATTAGCTGTGCGCCGAATTACTGCGCATTGAACCACCATGCGCAGAACTAGCTGCGCGTCAAATTACTACGCACAGAATTAGCTATGCACCGAATTACCACGCGTTGAACTATCACTCGTAGAATTATTTACGTGCTGAATTACTTATTCAAATACCCTAGGATTCAAGAATTCCTACATAATGACAATAAATCTAAAGTAAATATTTTAAAAAGTTGTTCAAAGGTATCTAACAATATAAAGCATAAAAACGAAAGAGAAATAGAGATGAAACGTTCGATGAAGAGGAGGCAAAGTAGTCGAAGAAATGCAACGCTTCGGGTTGACTCATTCCACCGAGTTGGCGAGCACCCTCTCCTCGATCAGGTATGTATTTCCATGCGCAAGGTGCAGCATGCGCACACCGGCAATCAACGAGTACACAGGTAAATAAGTACGCCGCCTTGGTGCCGCCTAAGAGACACAACTGTCCGCTGACGTCATCGCGCGACAAATTATTCGACTCATGGGAGTTCGACGCATGTGTGAAACGTAATACGCGGTTATATACCCATTATTCCTCCTTCGAACAAGGAGAATACGGTCGAGAGTTGAGAAGGCGAAACTTTATTGCGACGGATATACTCGAGGATCTTTTATTCGCGTATGTTCGAGATTTGCGGATCTTTTACTTGAACTTAATTATGAAACATGTCTTCTAATTCGTGTCTGTGAATTAGAATGCGGCTTATGGAATTTTAGATGGACTTATATAAAAATTCAGATTATAATGTGGACTACTGTTAGTACAAATGATAGAAATTTATAATTTTAACCTGCTTACGAAAATTAATAAGAAAGTGTTATTATTCAGACAGTTCAAGTTTGCAAACGTTAAATTGCAATAGGAATTTGATTTCTTTTTATTATAGTTGCTAATTTCCCAAATATTTTTCTGTACAGAGGCAGCCTCTATTTTTGAATTTAAGTATTATTGCATGTTTCAGAAAAAATTTAAAAAAGTGTTTTATCGTAAACGTAATACGGCTTTCGAAATAATCAATTTAATAGTAAGGAAGGAGTATAAATACCTGGTAATATGACGTGTAGGTCGCTCATTCGCTTCTGTTTACCCGACACCTTGTCATCGTAAACGTCGCCTGTAATCGACAAAAGCAAAAATTACATTTCGAACCAACCAGGACTGATTAACAAACAGCGAACGCTCTCGCATTTATGACGTATCGTATTCCGTGAAGTGTGCATAAATCGCGTAATCTACGGACCACGAATCTCTATTATACTTTATAGACGGGCATTTAGCGAACAACGATATATAAACGCTCGATTATCCCGGGTTCAATAATTAATATTCGAGTACCTCGTAATCCTTATGCACGCAGCTTCCATTATCGAAAAATAATAAACTGCAAACGCAGATTGAATAGGTTAAAAACTTCGCCTTAAATACCTCAATTGGTGCGTATATTTTTAATAAAAAAAAAAACTCTATAGACGTGAAAAAGTCGAATAAAACGTTTCATCATTGATTCTAACCCGCTCCACGTTTTCAACCCTCCGTACATTTCGCATCGATTCGAAATCCGGAACGATCGTTGGTGCGTGAAACGACATCAATCGGGTTTTCTCGCACAGATGATAACGAGGTAGTACTGTCAGCTAAAGAAGGGGTTCCCGGTTAATGTGCGTGTGCACGAACCTAACCTAACCCACATGTACGTGCACGTGTGCCGACGAACGATGAAACGGTAGTCATAGAAAGGGTTGCCGAGCAGCATCGAGCGTATAACGTACAAATTATACGTGGCCACGGAACGGCTGATTTACACGCAACAAACGAACCATGGAAAACCGTTATCGCGAGTTCAACGCGGCAACGTGTTAAGTATCCATCCAGGAACATCTGATAAACTAATTCGATCGTGCGATTGCGAACTGATCACGAGTATCACCAAATATGCTCTATTTCTGCGCCGGTCATGTCCTAGGTGGCGATATAAAACGTGAGAATATGGCACAAGGTGGTACGCGTGATAAATCACCGTATGGAAATTAGAGTGCTGATCTAATATGTGCAAACAGAAGTAGGAATTCGGTGAGTGGTAATTCGGGATGTGGCGATATAATGCGAGGGAAATCAGAGCGTAGAGATTTTACGAGTGGCGATATAACGCGAGGGAACTCGGAGCGTAGAAATTTGTTGAGAGTCGATATAACGAGAGCAAACTTGAGGCGTAGAAATTCCACGCGTGGCGATATAACGCGAGGAAACTCGGGGCGTAGAAATTTGACGCGTGGCGTAACTCAACGCATAGGAATTCCACGCGTGGCGATATAACGCGTGGGAACTCAACGCATGGGAATTCCACGCGTGGCGATATAACGCGTGGAAACTCAACGCATGGGAATTCGACGCGTGGTGATATAACGCGTGGAAACTCAACGTATAGGAATTCCACGCGTGGCGATATAACGCGTGGGAACTCAACGCGTAAAAATTC